CCTGAACCCTGAACCCTAAACTCCTGGTCAAAACAAGCACCTTCTCGAGTTGGCGGGTGTCCATCTTCCTCCGATGCAGTGCAGAGGTGGGGAGGAAAGAGCGAAGGGAATCTTCACGGGGCTTATGGTTTAGGGTTTAGGGTTTACGGTGGCATTGTGTGAGGTGGGATGCTGGGAAAAGTGGCTTGAAGATGATGGGCGTGGTTTCAGGGCTTTAGTCCTGCAAAAAGTCAGGCCACGGGCTCTTGTCAGTAGTGGCTGGGGCGTGATTCAGCAGGAGCGAGGAGGATTCGATTGCACTATCCAGCTGCCTGGCCCCACCGCAGGCATTCGCCGTTCTATTTTTCCGGGTTGCGCTTTATGACATTGCGCCATAGTGCATCAAGACGATGACTTTTGCTATGCCAGCCAACCTATGCTGTATCACATGGCATCCCGTCCCAAATTATAGGCCGAGCCCGTCAACAAGTAGGACAGAGTTCCCAGAGACTCCAATACCCNNACCCCTTAATTAAGGAATATATACCTCAAACCGTATTAGGGATCCTACTATAATTTAAGGTATATTCCTTACTTAAGGGGTATTGGAATCTCTGGGAACAGACTTGACACTTCGGTAGTCTCAACCTAGGAGCTTGAGCCCAAAACCAACTCCAGCATCATGGCGTCCTTGCACCATGATCTCAAACCCTCGAGCATATGGGCAGTTCTCTAAATTAGGGGCACCTTATCTTGGGGTCCTTATAATAAGGATCCTACTATTTAGGGTGCTATATTAGGGTCCCCTATTTTCTGAAACCCCCATATTGGAGTCCTTCAACCCTGGATTCCACGTGTCCTGCAGCTCCAAACCCAACAAAAAGGACGGCAAAAACAAGTTGGGTTTAGGATTTATAGGGACCCGAAACACCCCCGATTTCGAGGACGTTGGTCGCCTCTCCGTGGCAATTCGGCTCTGTAGCTTTTGGCGCAGCTTCTCCGGGCTGACTGAGAGAACGATCTCCTCGGCACGGAAAGACTGGGCTTTAGGTTCTAGGTTAATGGGGCCTAAAAAACTACCTATACTATTTTGGGGTTCCTTATTATGATTATACTATAAAAGAGCCCCAAGCCCTATTCTAATTGTTCAGGCCCCTACATTAGGGTTTAGGGTTGAGGCTTTTTTAAAGGTTCAGTGGGGTTTAGGGTCAGGGCCAAGACGCCAGATAGGTCCTGGAAACTCCAAGAGTTATGGCAGGTCGCTGCCGAATTCCAGAATGATACAGGCGGCTTGACACGGGAAGGGCTCGAGTTCGGTTTAGGGTTTAGGGTTTAGGGTTTAGGGTTTAGGGTTTAGGGTTTAGGGTTTAGGGTTTAGGGTTTAGGGTTTAGGGTTTAGGCTTCGGGTTTAGGGTGAGGCTGAGGGTTTGGGGCTAGGGTTGGAGGGCTCAGGCCGGAAGATGGTGTTCTGCTGAAGCGACTGAAGAACGGCACGAGCCAGTCTCTCTTCCGACCCGCGTCACGCAGCCGAGAGATCATGCATCGAGCCCTCCAAACCCTACGCCCCGGACCCTAATATAGGGGCCTTAATAATTAGAGTAGGGTTTGGGGTACATTATGCGATAATCATATTAAGGAGCCCCCAAAGCCCTATTCGAATTCTTAAGGCCCCTACACCCTAAACCCTATTATAGGTCCCTTATAGAACCCTCTGAGGATCCCTTTAAAGGGAACCCTATTCGAATTCGTAAGGCCCCTACAGTAAGCCTTAAACCTCGAACCTCGCAGTCGCCCCTCCGGAAACACTACCATGTAAATCCCCAGAGCAGAACATGCCTCCAGAGACCTTCAGGGTTTAGGGTTTAGGGTTTAGGAATATACCTTAAATTATAGAGGCCTTCATATTATGATTTAAAGTATATTCCTTAATTAAAGGGGTATTGGGTTCTCTGGGCCTCAACCCTAAATAGCCCTAAACCGACGAACGCATTCCAAGACGCCTACTGCAGGGGCCTTAAGATTTAGAATAAGGTTTTGGGGCCCGCTATACTGTACTTATGATAAGGAACCTCCAAAATACTATTGGTAATTATTTAGGCCCCTATATTAAACCCCTAAATCCCTCCTGAACTTATTATTGGAAGCCCCCAGCTACGGGAGCTTCGGATTTAGGGCGGTGGATGGCGGTCCGCAGGTTCAGAGCTTAGGGCTTTGGGGCGTCAGGGTTCAAAGTTAGGGTCTAGGGCTTAGGGAGTTTAGAGTTTAGGGTTTAGGGCTCACTGCTAAAGATCTGAGTCCAGCGGCACTGCGGTTCCGCAGACCCTCACCCTAAACCTCCGAAGCCTCAACCCTGACGTCTTAGAACCCTAACGCCCCTAAACCCGAAAACACTAAAAACCCTAAAGCCTCAAACACTAATGCCACATAAAACCCTTAGAATTTCTCATGGAACCCATATAGAAGCCTTATAGATCCGTGATAGAACCCGTATAGACCGTATAGAACCCCAGAGCCCTGAACCCTTCAACCCTAAACACTTACAGAATCCTTTCGATCTTGGCTCTTCAAGAAGCCTAGAACCGTAAAAGAAAACCTGTTAAGCCCCCAAACCCTGAAAGAAAGCCTAAAACCCAAACCCTAAATCCTAAACCCAAACCAAACCCTCGAGCCCCTCAAAGGAACCCTAAACGCCCTAAAGCCCCTGTAGGGAACCCCCAAAACCCAAAACTCCTTTACAGGAATCCTGAAACCCTCAAGTGCCCTAAACCCTAAACCCTAAACCCTAAACCCTGAACCCCTTGAAGCAACCCTAAAAGCCCTAAGGTCCCTTGTAAAGGAAACCCCAAAACCCAAAACTCCTTTACACCCGAGCGTCCCTTTAAGGAGCCCTGAACGCCCTAAAGTCCTTTTTGAAGGAAACCCCAGAATCCTAAAGCCTAAACCCTAAACCCTAAACCCTAAACCCTAAACCCCTAAACCCTAAACCCTAAACCCTAAACCCTAAGCCCCCGAAGAAGTCCCAGGGGCGACGTCCGGCACGGCCACCCGGAACGCCCGTCCGGAGCGAAGATTTCCTCGGCTATAAGGGTTACTCTAAGGGGTTCTTGGGGCCCATGATACTATAATTAAATAAGGAACCCCCACAAAAAAGTATGTCATGAGGGCTTTAAAGAATTACTGTCGATGATCTAAACCCTGAAAAAACCTAACTATGGGAACTATGGTATATTCCATATTATGGGGGGGTATTGCAGGGTTTATGTCATCAACCGTAGAATGAGGCTCCGTTTAAGGTTTATACTCTGCGAGTTCCTTTTAAAGGGGGTCTATGAGGGGTGCAAATTAGAATAGGGCTCTTTTTCAAGGCTCCTTTACAGGGTTCCGTAGGATTTTGTAATTTTTTTGTGTTTTCTAGTGTGTCTCTAAGTTTTTGTATACAGGAAGGAACGCTGCGAAGTCTCTGTTTTCTGTGCAATGTCGTTTGAAGCTTCCTAAGGGACCTTAAGAAACAGGACTTGGTTCCTTCAAAGGGTTTCTATAAGGTTACTTTAGGGCATCATTTAGGATTTCTTGAACGGGTTTCTATACGGGTGTAGTTTACAGGGGCCCTCCTCCAAGGTCTACGGGTTGATGTACGCACGCACACCAAGACCTGCATTTGGATTTAAGGCTTTGTGTGTGTTTACAGTTTCGGCTTAAGATTTCAGGGGTAGTTGCCTGGGCATTCCGTATGTATGTTGGGTCAGAAGTTGCAACTTATCTTGCGTCTACAACCCTCGCATGCACCCCTGAAAGGGAAGGCAGAGCTGGAGCTCGAAGTGCAAATACACTAAACCCTAAACCCTAAAACCTAAACCCTAAACCCTAGACCGTAAACCCTAAAACCTAAAACCTAAACCCTAAACTATGGGAACTATGGTATATTCCGTATTATGGGTATTGCAGGATTTATAGCATCAACCGTAGAATGAGGCTCCGTTTAAGGTTTATACTCGACGAGTTCCTTTTAAAAGGGGTCTATGAGGGGTACAAATTAGAATAAGGCTCTTTTTCAAGACTTTTTTATAGGGTTCCGTAGGATTTTGTAATTTGTTTTGCGTTTTCTAGTGTTTCTCTAGGGCTTTGTATACAGAAAGGAACGCTACGGGGCCTCTGTTTTTCCACGCACAAGATGTTGCGATTTTCTGTGCAATGTCGTTTGAAGCT